GGACCACCAGGGAAGTCCCCTGGTGTCATTCTCTATGCATTTCAATCACTGTGCTTATCATTCTGAAGTGTAATTATTTACACACTTGTACTTTTTCTACCAGATTGTGAGTTCCTTGAAAGCAGGGACTGCACTTTCTGTGTCTCCAACCCAGTACCTGGCACATGGAAGGATCTATAAATATTTGTTAAATTGAGCTGAATCTATATGCCTAACACTCCACCGGCCCCTTCAAGAATGTAAAGGCTTTGTTACTCTCTGTCTTGTGCCAAATCCTAGGTATGAAATACATACAATGTGTATATTCTCACAGAGAAACTAAACAATCCTTGAATTCAACAGTGTAATACTTGAATTCAACAGTGATTAGGAAGGACATAGATGAGGTTCTTTTCTGTCTTGGTCTAAAGAAAAATTGCTATTTACTCTTAGTGCTGCTATGACAAAGCACCATAGCCTGGATGGCTGAAACAACAGAAATTTATTATGTTACAACTCTAAAGGCTAGAAGTTCAAAATCAAGATTTTGCAGGATTGGCTCCTTCTGAAGGCAGAAGGATCTGTGCTAGGCCTCTCTCCTTGGCTTGTAGATGACTGCCTTCTCTCTATGTCTTTTCACATTTTCTTCCCTCAGTGCCTGTCTGTGTCCAAATTTTCCCATTTTAGAGGGACACTAGTCGTACTGGATTGGCACCCACCTGAATGACCTCATTTTAACTCGATTACCTCTGTACAGATCCCATCTCCAAATAAGGTCACATTCTGAGAGACTGAGGGTTAGGACTTCAGTATATAAATTGGGGGCAGAGGAGAGACAAAATTCAACCCATCACAGTCTAATTTTGAAAATTATTTAAAAGATCATATCAAGGAATTAACAGCAGGAGTCTTCTGGGACTATAAAAATTAATAATAATAAAAAAAAACCCGCCAGTCTTTGAGTCTGTGATTTACAGATGATGGAGTTTGCTAAAACGTTCCTTTCCCAGCAGGATCTGTGAGTTGAGTCACTCCTTCCCCATTCAAGGCCCACAGCACCTGGAGCCCAAGTTTTCTCCACCCTCGAAAGCGGGAAGTATTCTACTCACGGCTAATTACACTGCCTGCCCTTCCCCATGGTCTTGAAAATATTTCTTTGATGATGTCAAATCTGTACTCCTGTGACTGATAAAAATTTTCAGGTTTCACTCTGGTTCTCCAAGTGCTTTTTCAGATCAGGAGAAATCTGACAGACTAGCTATGTGTCATCAGTACGTGTGCTTTATTTAGGATGAGGCTCTATGGTGGAGCCTAGCTTTGGGCCTAAGGGGGACTCCTAGCTGGGTGCATGTCATGGGCCCCTCCTTGGTGGCCCTGTGCTCACTGGGCTTCTCACTGACCAGCTTCAAAGAAGATGTAATCATCTCTCCATTCATTTGTCTCTCTCATTGGACTGTCTTATTCACTGTGTCTCATTAACAGCTGATGCTGAGTAGCTGAACTTTCTGGACTAGTGAGCAAACCTCAAACTGCTTGTGTGAGGAGACCCTGATTCCTGAGACAGTATATGGCTTTGGCAAATGACCATGTGGGGGGAAGGGGCCCAGAGAGCAAGTGTGGCAGAATGCAAGTTGGAGATAAGGTTGCACATGAGGGTGTGTGATTGGGAGATTGAAGAGGGGAAGGCAGGAAGAAATGGTCATAGAAGTCTCCCAAAGGGGGTCAGTGGACCCATCTACCCACCCATCTACCCATTTATCCATCCATCCATCTGCCCATCTAACCATTCATCTATCCATCCACCCATTCATTTATCCATCTACCTATCCATCCATCCACCCATCCAACCCACCCGTCCACCCACCCATCCATCCATCAACAATTGCTAAGCACCTCCTAGGTGGTAGACACTATACTGGGCACTAGGAATGATACAGTGAATAAAACAAGGCCCCTGCCTTTTTTGTGTGGACACAAACAAAACTCAAAGTAATGCAAAGGTGTTGTGCCTGGATGTATACTGTAAAGTATAGTGATGAAACCCAAAACAGGGAAAAGAGTGTGCTCTTTCAGATTGAGTCCGAAGGAAAGGCTTGTGAGGCAAGGCTGGGCCAGTGTATTAAAGCAATAGGAGGGGGCCAGTGAGCTGGGAACAAAGCAAGTCAGCAATGAATGGTGATGGCTTAAAGACCTGACTCTTGTAGGGTTTTAAAATTTCTGTTAAGCTAACATTTATTAAGCGCTTACAATGTATCCAACTTTAAGGACTTTAAAGACATTAATTCATTTCTTACACAAAAATTTAGATAGGTATTATTATCATCCCTAGTTTATGAGTGAAGAAATTGAGGCACAGAAAGATGAAATAGCTTGCCCAAATGCACAGCTAGGAAGTGCTGGAGCCCAGGTTCACACACTCCAGGCATGCTGCATAACCACCACCTGCTCTATGGATCACAGCATCCACTTCAGTTAGAGCAGCAATAACTCCACCCCTTCACCTGCTCCTCTCCAGCGCTGCAAGGAGCAGCTAGTATTCCTTCATTCCCTAAAAACAGTGGGGGTGTCTGCTAACCTCACTATATAGATGCAGGAGTGCTAGGTGCATGGCAGGAAACAGTGAGGAGGAAGGCAGGAAGGTGGAGAGGTGATGACTGGGTGGTTAGAACCGCAAAGGAGAGAAGCACAGATGTTATGGGCACACAGAGGAGGACCACAGAGCCGTCTGGGGTGAGTCAGGAGTCACAGAAGCCTTCCTAGAGAAAGTGACCCGGAGCCAGGTCATCCTGTGCCCCAGGGGACAGGGTGTGAAAAGCCTTTCTTTCACCTCTCCTCTCCTGCAGAGAACCTTGTCTGCAGCAAATGCCCCATCAGTACCTATCACTTTCCAACAATCCGCCTTTAACTTTCCACTAATCACTATTATTCTCCCTCCCCAAATGTGTCTGCTTTCTTCCTACCCTTTGCCCTTCCTCCTACCTCTTACCTCCTTCTGGGATCTCACGTGTTGGAGCCCCTAAGAAGTGAACCAAAGCAGAGGAACCCTGGAGAGTTATGGCTTTGGCCAGTGAATGGGGATGGGGGAGGATTTTGATGTGCCAGCATCTTTTACAATGCCCCTACCCCTGAAGTCACAGCATGAAGGCAGGGTGACGAGGGGGTTGGAAACGCCTTGCCTACTCATCAGGCTGGTCCTGGACAGGAGACAAGCAGGCAGGAAGGAACCGCGAGGCCTTGGACGCACAAGAAAGGGAAAACTGACAGCAGGGTCCAGGAACCCCCTCGGCCTGGCTGGCCCTGAGGTTTTCTCTGCCAGCCATAAATCCTGGGGGTGCTGCAGCCCACAAGCCCTGGCCCTTACTTTCTTCCTTGGGGGGTGGGGGGAAGGTGAGGAAGTGGATCACTCTTAGAAGACTGTTATGATTTCAAAGGAAAAAGGAGCTGTTTTTGATGTCTGCCCAGAGATAGAACCAGGTCCCAGGGGGCTGCATTTGCGGTTCCGGTAAAAGGAGCCGTGTTGACACAGAATTCTTGGACTGGCCTCATCTCATTAAAAACAAGCTGCCAAACCAAATGGGAAATGGAGTTTAGCAGAGAAGTATGTGCTCGCTCCCCTCCCCCTTCCAAACTTGGCTCCGACTCCAAGCAGCATACGACTTAGGTTCTGGGACCAAAGTCCCAGCATCAGGGAATTGTGCTGACCAGTCCCCGGGTTCACAGGACATGCAGTTTGCTCTCCCCATGAGCTATTTCCCAGCAGGGTCAGCCTGTGCCCATGGCCTGTCACTTCTCAAACTTCCTGTTCTTTAGTGAAAGAAAAAAATGCTAGGCAGAGAGAAGATTGGAACTAGACCAGCTGCCCTAAGTAGGTGTTCCAGACTCCATAGATCTCTAAAGAAGTTTCAGACTTCTAATTCTTACTCAACATGTCTCAGGATGGAGGACCTGCCACTTTTCACACTCCAGTACTCTTGCCTGGAAAATTCCACGGATGGAGGAGCCTAGTGGGCTATAGTCCATGGGGTCGCAAAGAGTCGGAAATGACTGAGCAACTTCACTTCACTTCCATGGTTAAAAGTTAGGCCAGGTACCTACGCACCAGTCATGGAAGATGGAAGATTGATTCCATTCCTACTTTGCCACCTCCTGGCTCTGTGACCTTGGGTAACTTTCTTAACCTTTCTGTGCCTTGGTTCCTTCAGCTGTTGAATGGAGATAAAAGATCCCATGATATAGAACATCTCTATCATTTCAGGCAGCCCTATTGGATAGCTCTGGTCTAGAAGACCCACTCAGATAAAGAATAAAGAATCTTGGTGCCAGGTTTTCAATTCCTAGTTACAGCTAATGTGAAGCTCGGCTATGTATATCTCCTGCACTTAGCAGGTAAAATGCTAAGGTATGGTGTTCACACAGAGAAGAACTCAATATATTGTACTGGTTGCTGTTTTTTTAAATTACTAATATCAAAGTATGTTCTTAGGTAAGATTCTTTTGAAAATAAAAAGCTAAAATAAGAACCAAAATCCACTCTAACTAGCTCATGAAAACGGTAGTGATGGGAGACATAGGGTGGTAGATGGAAATTATAAAGGTACAAATGATCTCATAGAATACAGTGCAGGAGATATACATAGCCAGCTTCACTGGCCCTGGCAGCCAGTGGTAAGGACTCTGTACTTTTGCTGCCAAAGGTGCAAGTTCCATCCCTGGTCAGGGAACTCAGATCCTGAAGAAAAAGTTCTACATCTGTGCAATGCACCTGAGAAATGGAATCTTTAATTTTTAATGTTACTTAAAGAAATTAATTTAAATAAATTAACTTAAATCAACTAGTTAAAATTATTATATAAATAGGCTTCCCAAGTGGCACTAGGGGTAAAGGATCCACATGCCAATACAGGAGACACAAGAGACTCAGATTCGATCCCTAGGTTGGGAAGATCCCCTGGAGAAGGAAATGGCAACCCACTCCAGTATTCTTGCCTGGGAAATCTCACGGACAGAGCCGCTTCACTCACCTTCTCATTGCAGGTTGCAAGTTAAAGGCTACTCTACATAAGAAACACTTCCAGGTGAAGTCTTCACACCTGACCATCAGGTCATGGAATCTTACACTTTCTCAGCAAGGGCCAGGTGGGGCTCTCTGGGAGGGGCTGTGTCGAGCTGGTAGTTCAAGGGCGCTGAGGCTTTTGTGCAAGGATGGCAATGATCCAGTTGTTGGTGTTGACGCCTTGAGTATGACCATGCCTTTCCCAGGCTTCTGGGGGTGATTCAGGCCTTTGTGAGGAAAGCCCAGAGATCCTGTGTTAACTAGTGAATCTGGAAGGAAGCAGATAAAGTGTGAGCCACACTCTGCCTAGTGTGAGCTGCTGGTCCACACCTAAGTCTGGGTGTACCTAGGATACTGAAGAAAGACAAACCTCTGAAGACTTGGAAATACCAGGTTTAAGAAAGAATGTTTTTACCTGAAACTATCACAACATTGTTAATCACCTATACCCCAATACAAAATAAAAAATTCAAAAGGAAAAACAAAAAGAATGTTTTGTTTTCTTCCGGGTTCCTAGAGACACACAAACTGTAACCTAACACGGAGAAGAGAGAACAATGGCAGACTTGGGGACTCTGTGTCACTGTGAGCTCTTGGCTTTGCCCTGCTGATTTAGCTTGACAGGCCCTCTTGGTCAAGCAACTGACCAGAGCCGGCAAACAGCTGCTATGTCTGGGCTTTGTTTTGAGGGCTTTTAATTGGTTTGTCTGATTCTTTGAATAAATGGAATCAATGGGTTGTTTAACTTATTAGTCAGACATCAAATATTATTAAAGGGACAGCTACATGCCCCAAACTGTGCTCAGCTTTGTGGAAGGATATAGAAATCAAATCCCCATTGAAAACTGGGGTTTAACTCCCACCTCTCTTGGTCATCGTGAGGGAGTGAAGATTGTGATGACAGACAGCAGAGAGGTGGAGCTAGAACAGGAGGGGGCTGTGGCTTTTCATTGTTTCTAATCCTGCCAAAGGCTGCCCTCCACACAGCAGCCAGAACCACTGGTCATATAGATTCATTGAGGTTTGTTGTTGTTTTGTTGCTAAAGTCGTGTCCGACTCTTTTGTGACCCCATGGATGGTAGCCCACCAGGCTCCTCTGTCCTTGGGATTTCCCAGGCAAGAATACTGGAGTGGGTTGCCATTTCCTACTCCAGGGGACTTTCTTAGCCCAGCGGTCCAATCTGTGTCCCCTGTATTGGCAGGCAGATTCTTTACCACTGAGCCATCTGGGAAGCTCAAAGAGATAAATAGATAAAATGACTCAATTTTTGTTAAAAGTAGAAAAAAACCTAAAATGCTCTGATGACTTCCCATTGTACTTAGAATAAAATCCAAGCTCTAACTTGCAAGCCCCCTGCTCTGACCCCATCCCACTCCCTGACCCCATCTCCTGTGACTCTTTCCTAGGCTCATTCCACCCCAAACCCCAACTACACAGGCCTCCAATTGCACCTCCACATTAAGCCCCATCTCACCTTAGGGTCTTTGCACAGGCAGGTCCCTTCTTTTCCTGGATTTTTTTTTTTTTTGCATGGCTGGCTCATCTTGTTATTCACAACACATCCTCAGAGAGGTCTTTCTTCATCATCCAATTTCAAGTATCTCCCATCACTCTTGATTGTACTTGTCTTGCTTTCTTTTCATTGTAGTATTTACTATTCGCTACCTGACATTCTCCTGGTTGTTGTTGTTGGCTGAATTTCTGTCTTCCCCAGTCAGAAGAGCCTCTTCAATAAAAGAAGTCATTCAAGTGGGACTTTTTCTCGTTTGCCGTATGTATTTGCAACTCCCAGTTCTGCGCAAAGCACAGCTGGGTCCTCAGTTATTGTTTGGTGAATAAATAATTGACTTAGTGAGAGAAGTAGTTCTGCAAAGATCCGGGTTGTATGTTGTATTTAATTGTATGATCTAACTAAGGGATTAGCGTTCTTGGCTGAAGGTTTTGGGCTTCAGTTCCCTCTGCTGGCAGTCGTGATTACCCTATCACCTTCCTAGTTCACTCAAAAAATATTATTTATTTAGTTATTTGGCTGTGCTGTGTTGCAGTGGCGGCTTGTGAAATCTAGTTACCTGACCAGGGATCAAACCTGAGCCCCCTGCATTGGGAGCATGGAGTCTTAGCCACTGGACCACTAAGACCACTGGCCCCTAAATCCCTCACTTTTAAAAAATGCTTGAAAAGGCTGATTCTGGATTGAGTTCAAATCCATGGGTAGCCCCATACTCTCTCTTAAATATCTAGTTGCCCTTGAAACTTAAGCATTTGGATGTTTGCAATGAAGATCAACATCTTCCATGTTCCTTTTCAAAACCACTCCTCCTCCTTTCCCTGTCCCAGCCTTGGAGAGTAATAGCTGGAAATCTGGTCTTAATTCTCTATGCCTGCTTCCCCCTCTACCTTCGTGTTGAGTCAGATTCTACCTCCTATCATTTGAACCTGCACAAATCTGCTTTTGTGTCCCCATCCCTGGTATCCCACCTTTTATTTCTTGTTTTACTTACTGAAATAGTCTCTTGCTTCCATCTTTTCTGACTCCATTCTCCATACCACAAACACATCAATTAAAATTTGAATCACAAAAACCTTTCCTCTGTGGTTCCCTGTTGGCCTTAAATGAAAGCTGAAACTCCTGAACGTGACCTAAAAGGCCATAGCATTGTTACTTCACTGGCCTTGCTTCTTGCAACCTCTCTTTCCCAATTTACCCTCAACTGTTACCTGTTCTCCAAACAATGTATTTTTCTCATCTTCAGTGCTGTCTTTATGCTGTTTTTTTCGAGAATATTCTTGCCTTTGTCTTTGCCTGATTGCCTAACAGTTCCTTCAGTTTTGCCTGCGTGTCAGGATTTCAGGTCTCCAGCTCTTAGATATGTATCCCCCCCTCAGGACACCATAAGTAAGTGGTACTTCTAGAACCACTGCTAGTATTAATGAAACTAAGATGAGTATTTGTTAGAATATGACAGTTGCTAGGAGCTTAACCAAGATAGAAGTATTTCTCTTTCTCCTTATTAGACTGGAGGTTGGGGGCTAGGCAGCAGGACATGTCTGTCCTCAGGGTGGTAGCCTCGTTGGCCTGGTCCCAGTTGGCTCACCACCACATCTGACGTTCCAGCCATCCAGCCAGCGTGGTGGTTACTATAGACTGAATCTTTGTTCCCCTCCCCCCCAACCCATCTTTGTATGTTGAAACCCCAATCCACAACGTGGTGGGATTCGAAGATGGGGCCTTGGGAGGTAATTAGTTCATGAAAGTAGATCCTTCATGATGGGATTAGTGCCTTTATAAGAAGAGATATCTCATGTTTTTCTCCCCAACTCCCCCTTCCTACTCTCTCCTATCCCTTCTCATCCTGCCATGTAAAGATACAATGAGAACATGGTTGCAGTTTGTAAATCAGGAAGAGGGCCTTCACTAAGAACCCAGCTATGCTGGACTCCTGATCTCATACTTTCAGGCTCCAGAGCTGTGAGAAATAAAGGTTTGCTGTTAACCCACCCAACCCTTGGCATTCTCTTGCGGCAGCCAGAGTTAACCTAAGACAGTGTATGAAGGAAAGAGAGCAAGCGCCTTCTCCCCCTGGCTCTACAGTGTCACCTGGAGGCAAGTAGATAATTAGAGCAGAGAGGAGAAGACACAGAGGACAAGCTGCCAATATTCATAGAGCACCGTGCTGTCAATGCCTTTTCTCATTTGACCCTTTTCACCACCTTATAAGGGTAAGTACTGTTGTTATCCTCCCTCCTATTTTTAAGCAAATGATGTTTTATCAGCAAGCTGACTTTGCAAATCTGAGAAATAACGTGAAGGGCCAGTCAGCCTGGCACACCTGTGTTAGCGGTTCTTTCTCAGAAGAGTTTTCGTGAGATGGGCACATGACTTTGATGCTTGTTAACAAACGCAACAAGGAATTCCAGCACTTTCTGTTCTTGTGTGGCTATAATTTAAAGTTCAGTTTTAGTAAGTAAGTAAGTTTATATGTGCAGGTAGTTAAAGAGTCAAAATGTTCTGCATGGTTTGATATAAGAGATGGTCGTTACGTTCCCTATTCCCTACTCTTTCCCCAAACCTACACAGTGCAGTTTCCCATGGTTCAGAGACAACCACTGTCAACGCTTCAGCTGACTTTTTTTTTTGTGATTCACCTCCATATCTCTCAAAAACATGCTTATGTTGCTACTTTGTGATTTCTCAGTTTCAGGCATCATTTACTGGCTTTCTTCCATGGGAAGATGAGGATTTAGCTGACATCAACCCACCACCCCACGTGCAACACACACACACACTTTCTCCCTGTTCTGCCCTCTTCCCAATATAGCTGCAACTTAATTTTAGCCAGGTCAGCATTTTCACAACTGTGTCATCTCACACACTAGATTTTTTACTTTCCTGCACAATTTTTAATTTCCCGTGGAGTCATTTTCTCGTTTTGTTTTTTTTTTTTTTTTAAGCTTGCTTAATTTTCTGTGTACTTAGCTCTAATCCAACCTCAAACCTGTCTGGCAGTTGCATAAATCTTCTCTGAGAAATTTCAAATACATGTGGGATTCTATCAATGCTTTCGTTTTTCTGTCAGTGCTTTCATTTTGAAGCAATCTCTCTGGGGGCCTTCTGACCGGCTCTGACCTGGACAGGTGGCCTCTGAGCCTGGTACACAGCTGTCATCCCAGGATGCTTCACCGTCATCCTGGGCCTTCTTATGCCTGTTAGGTTAAAGCTCCTTAATTCTGGGTCCTGTGCTTTCCTCTTTCTTAATGTTTCCTTTGGCGGTGTGGGAAAGAGGACATGGGAGGTTTTTGTTTGTTTTAACCATATGCACAGATGTTTGATTTGCCATCTTTCACAGAAATGCATAGCCTCTTGTCAGAGATGAAGCTATTGCAATTCAGGAATATTAAGCAACTTGGAAATTATCCAGTCAGTGTAGGAAGCTATTCCCCCTGTCAGAGCACCCTTCATACTGTGTTTTCTTATCTATTTTTCCTTCTGATCCATGGGATCCCTTAAGGAAAGAACTGAATCTGTCTTGTTCTTTTATGCATCTCATGTGGCAGGTCCATCCTAGGCACTCAGCTAGTGTTTCTGAAGTGAGTTTGTGAGGTCTGGTTTTGGAGAAGAACATTGTTTATTCCACCCCAGCACTATGCATTTTGATTCTAATATCTGAAACCCAAATTATCTGTGCTTGATGTAATTAATTTTCACCCCCACCACTTGAGTCTGTTCTCATCTTAGGAGAAAGATGGATGTCTTGTCTGTACCGGAAAGAACTCAAGAATTTCCAGGGGAAAGTCTTGCTCCTGCCTTGCTCCTGAATCACACAACCCTCTTCCAGAGTTTATTTGTGTGAGATATACAATAGCATAACGACAAATTATTTTTTTCCTGAGAGAACAACAATTACTCAACTGAAAGCAATGCTGTATTTATGACATTTTTTCCCCTTGTTTTTAGGATACCTCATGGAAACTTGATAAAACAAAGGATTTATTTTTGTTAGGTTAAATCTGTGTATCAGGCCCCATGTACTTGCTACCCATTAAGTCTGACCATCTCAACTAGGGGAAAAAAAACACTTTGATTAATAAAAACAACCTGAAACAGATCCCTTGAGCCGGGTAACTGTGTATTATGTTAAAACGTAATGTAACAAACAGGGCCCAGGCGCCCTCCCCAGAACCCACACCTACCACAGCTAAAAATAGCCCTTGGTCTTTCCCTGAAGCTCAAAAACAGGAACAGCAAAACTTGTTTGCCTTATTATGTGTTCTGCACAGGGATCCAAGCCCTTTCTCGTCCTGGCTCTTAACACGTGTGAGCAAATTTTAAATCGGCTGGTTGCAAATCGGAAGGCCAACAATAGGAAGTGAATTTTGCACAAACATGGCTTCCCGGGTCCTTAGACAATGCCCTGCTCACCCTGGGTTCCTGGATGAGAATAATAACCAGAGGCACCGGCTAGCGGAGGCCACTCTGAACACTGGCCAGGCTCTGTGGGCAGGGGGACAGGCACTCACATGTATTAACCCTTTTAATCCTTACCATCCATGAGGGTGAGTCCTGTTACTACCCCCATTTTATAAATAAAAGAGTCAAGGCCTTAGGTGACAAAGGAACTTGCTACTCACCCAACTTGATAGAGGAGTGGTATCCACACCCAGCTGGGTTTGACTATTGAGGTCAAACCAAAAGCCCTCACCTGAACTCCCATAACGCCATGGCCACTTCGAAGTAGGGGAGGATGAAGGAATATCTTTCCTACCCCAACTAACCATAACTGCTATTGACCCATGAAGATAAAGGTAGAAACTATATTGTCTTGGAATCAGGTAGGACTATGAAAATTGTCTATCCTTGAATATCTTTCATTCTGTAGCAGATCTGACTAGCGCCCACCAACTCAATGAGAAAATCACAGGCTTAGGAATTAGCTAGGCTTGGCTTCACCTCTTAGTTCTCCTATACATTAATTCTGTGATGTTGGACAACACCGATACTGATGACAACAAATAGATGACTGTACTCCATGTGCCAGGCACCGGCTAAACTCTTCTCCATGCATTAAGTGCGTGCTAAGTCACTTTAGTCGTGTCCAACTTTTTGCAGCGCTACAAACCCTAGCCTGCCAGGCTCCTGTCCATCATATTCTCTAGGTGAGAATACTGGAGTGGGTTGCCATGCCCTCCTCCAGGGGATCTTCCTGACCCAGGGATCAAACCTGTGTCTCTTACACCTCCTGCATCTCAGTGCAATATCTTTTCATTACTCATGACAACCTCTGAAGCATGTCATTGCCCTCATTTTGCAGTTTAAGACCCTGAGACTTGAGGAGATAATGTAAGGGGGTCAAGTTAGTATGGTAGTCAAAAGCATAAACTATGAAATTAAAC